ATATACTAGTACTAGATATATATATATATATATATATATATATATATATATATAATATATATACACTATTAATGGTTCGTCTGAACAATGGGTCATTAATGATTATATTTTTTGGTGGTGTGTGGTTGCAGGAGCACATCAAATATGTGATTCTGGTGGGTAATAAGTACTTTCCGAATTGCATACATTTCATGGTAAAATATTGTTGTTGTTTTTAATATTTAGAACCCAACTAAGCCTTTAGAGTTTTTTTACAGAGCAAAATGATTTGCAAACTTTTAACATTTGTACTCGTGGTTATTAAATCGTGCCAATTCACCAAGGCATCATACGAATAATCTACACATTTCTATATAAACTGAATAGTGTTACTACATATACTCGATTTTACATTGCAATAAAACACGTCTGCCAACACGTGCAACAATTAGAACATAGATGTACCAAGTATTGATAATATCTTCTGGGTTATCGCATCTCCGATCCTACATGGTCTTCTTCGGTTAACGCGCTTAGTGTCGCCTACGTTGGTCTAGCGTGTGCCCTGACAAATTCTATGAGACTCGGAGACAGCCTGTTCTCGTATGCAACTCTGTGTCTGACGATAAGGCGCGCGCAGTGGCACTTCAACGAATGATACTGCGCGCTCATTCTGCCATGTATCTCGTCGCTCGACTCCACGTTGCCGCGGAAACGCGTCGGGTAAATCCGGTGCCAGAGTTTGTATGGCGTCTCTCCCCGAGCGTTCAACATGTCGACGTGTGCGCCGTGCTTGAACAGCAGCGCGTGCACTATCTGCACGCACCCCTCCCTCTCTCGCGCGTAAACATCGTCTTTGCATGCGAGCATCGCCCTACAGAAGCTGTGCAGCGGGGTGTCGCCCTTGCTGTCGCGTGTGTTAACCTGTAGAAGTACGCCGGCGGACTCGCACGTCTGTAGGAGAGCTGACGCCGCTTGTACCACTGACTCCGCTTCTGCTTGTACAGCGTGTGCTCCTCGCTCACTCGTTCTGGCGCTTCTCACCTCTGCCTCGCTGCCTATTATAGCGAGCGGCGTCCTCTTGTTACAATCGACGAGGTTCGGGTCAGCTCCGTGTTTCAAGAGGTGAGTAATCATCTGTGTGAATGAAAGAAACGAGGATCGTTAACAACCCGATTTTAGGTTCGTTCTTTAAAGAACAAGTTTCTCCGAGCATACTACCTTTATTACTGTTGCCGATTACTAACTATTACTGTTATTAAATTATTAACTATTAACCGATTACTATTACTGATTACCTTTATTATCTAGACAAAAATACATTGGAACTTCGCTAAAATTGTCTCCGTCGTTCAAAACGTACGCCCACATTTTTCCTCGGTCCCGAGTAGATTGCAGGAGTAGTGTAATGCGGTGAAACTATTTAACATATCTATGATTAACTGTTAACCGATTACTATTACTGATTACCTTTACCATCTATAAGGAAATACATTAGGACATTGCTAAAATTCGGTCTCAATCATTCGCAACGTATGCCCGTAGTTTTACCTCGGTTCGAAGTTGATTACAGGTGTAGATCAACTCGGTGATACGCCCCCTTTCTTCCGGCTCGGCGTCAGCCTCCACTAGCAGGCGCACGATGTCCAGTTGCATGTAGCAAGCCGCGATGTGCAAGGAGGTCACTCCGTACGAGTCCGCGGCATTGGCGTCGGCGCCGTGTGAGAGCAGTATCCGCACCGCCGCCTCCTCGCCCTCCGTCACCGCCCACATCAACGGCGTTTTCCCGGTCTGCGTCTCGGCGACGTTTGGATCAGCACCGGCCTCCAGTAGCAGGCGCACGATGTCCAGCTGGCCATCGCAAGCTGCTTGGTACAGGGAGGTCTGTCCTTGCCAGTCCACGGCGTTGGCGTCGGCGCCGTGTGAGAGCAGCATCCGCACCAACTCTACTCACCTGCAATTTGACTCATGTTAACTGGTACATTTCGTATGAACGGTGTGTAGCCCTATACTAAAAGGAAATTTTATTTTATATAATGAAGAAAGAGCTTTTGGACAAGATGAAATAAAAAAATCCACATGTATCATTTTTCCTAGAACGCAATACAAACATTGCTCAAGAAAGCGCAGCAATTTATATTAAAAAATCACAAGCTGAAAAGATATGAAATTGCCAATGTCTTCAGTACATTCTCACACACGCGCGGCGCGGAAAGCTAAAACCAATTAAGCTATCCCTATAAATAATTTTTTAATCGACTGTGTGTTTTGATAAAACAAGAAAAGGGACTAAACTTACAAAAGAACCCCAGAGCGCCAGTTCCATATTTCACCTAGTCCATAATGGGACTATATTGGGGTATTAACATTCAGATGTAAGTGATGCCGGAAATGTAACTACATATTATTCTATCCTGACAACATTAAGTTTGGAATGAATGTGGAGATTAATTCAGGATTCCTAAGTAACTGCTAGCATATAAAATCATGAGGCTGAATAAGTTTATCAGAGGAGGGGCAGTTTACGACAAACAGCGTCATTACAAATGCACGAACCGTACACTAAGGGAGAATTGCCGTATTGTGTGGACTGTGAAATTCAAATCGATAATTATTCCTTCCTTCCAAAATAACCCTTTCTGCTGAAAACATGCAATCCTCCAAATTGCTATGCCGATAGCCTGGATAAGTACACTGAACAGTAGTGAAACATGCCGTGGTAGTGTAGCCAGTCGAATTTCAACCGTATCATCTAAACATTAAATACAATCCAGTAGCAAACAAATAAAATCGACGTTTCTATTTGCATCCTCTAGGGAGGAACGGTAGAATTTTATCTGTATAAGGGGAGGAACACCCTCTTTCTCTTCGTCGTCATTTTAATTTGCGTAGTGTAAAGAGGACTAGCTGTATAATCATGTTTGTACAAGAGCGAAGGAACGACGACAGAGAGCGTACGGTTCGCGCGCTTGCAATCACGTCAATGTTTGCGAACACCGCGGAACACACGAGAGGAGCTAGTACTCTTCCTCCTCGTCGCCGACGTCGGCCGAGTCGACGCCCACCTCCTCGTAGTCTTTCTCTAGCGCCGCCAGATCTTCTCTCGCCTCGGAGAACTCTCCCTCCTCCATGCTCTCCCCGACGTACCAATGCACGAAGGCGCGCTTCGCGTACATCAGGTCGAACTTGTGGTCGAGCCTCGCCCAGGCTTCAGCGATGGTCGTGGTGTTGCTCAGCATGCAGACAGCGCGTTGAACTCAAGCAACAACGGTAGGCATCATGGGAGTGAGAATAAACACTAAAAAACGCTGAAAACAACTCGCAATGATCGCTTTAATGTTACGCTGGCTGCTTCATCTCTGTTTTAAGCTTAAATTCCCGTTTCTATGTTTGCAGGCTGCTTCTTCCTAATCATCTAATGCACATTGCTGCACACGCGATGCATGTATAGTAGACAACAGTGAGGTTTTATGTGGAATCACGCACTGTATCATTATTTTAATGTGTTCTTGCATTCTTCATGTGTCAGTCACCTTTCATACCTGTGTGTGAGAAGATTGCATCCAGAACCATACATGTGTGAGTGAGGTCTTTTATCAACATACATCACCTTTATTTGGAACAATTAAAATTTAAGACACACATTTTTATTTCTTAAATATTTTGTGAAATGTGTAAGATTTCAGAGATTTTGTCGATTGAAATTTGTACCGATTGAGTTACCTACTTGGCTACTTTTACTCAAGGATTATTTGCATACCACTCACGTCTGCTCTCCATGCAGCCCTATTCTCCACGAGGGGAGAATAAACTAAGAGAGACTGACGTCTGCTCAAGTATGTACAGCACCGCATCGCAGACTTTCTAGCTAAAAGTGTGTTTATAACATGGCACAAGGCACACGGTACCTACATGCTTTCCCAAAATAAGTTGAGAAAAAAAGAGAAAAAGAGTTGATCGAGCTACTTTTATCCAGTAACATTGGCATATGTCTGAGAGCACGTATATGATCATACGTGTCGAATCTTGGAGGGTGCTAAATTAAGCTAGCTACCCGTAAACTCGTATCTATAGCACACCTAGCTTACGTATATAGAGATTCAATCATGCTGGATTTGCACTTCACCAAGAGCTAATAATACCTAATAGCTAATAATAGCTATTATAGCTCTTGATTTCATACATATATAATACGCATAAAAACCAGTTTAATACTCAAGCTCGCCCCGGCGCCCGGTGATGAAAACAAACAATATCAATGATACCCTAATTATGGTAAATCACAAAGCACTGTCTATACCCAGTTTATGAGCACTGACAATGGTTTCGCACTCTTTACGTGGTTGTTACCAAAGAATACAGAGCATGGAGGATTGCGAGCCACTGTGGGTTTAATGTGAAACACGCGATGCCACTATACATTACTATTTACTATTCTAATTAATTACTAATTAACTAATTACTATTACTCTCCTAACTATTATTAACCCCTGAAATATATATGTATATATGTACATCTACAGGGCGCCCGACCAACCACCCTCCCACCCACTTCGCAACGACCAGAATCAATATACAAGCAGCTTCGCTATAACGCTACAGAACGCCTAGCGACTAGCCCCCCACCCTCCCGTTATAGAACAGCCACCCCAGCGTGTGTGTGCGTTTATATATATATATATAGGCATACTGATAGCACAGCCTAATTTTAGTGTGGACTTCTAAGACTAAGTCTAAGTTCTTTAAAAGTATAGATGTTAATTGTGTGTAGCATTGATAAAGTGTAGTGTGTGATTACTTTTCTATAAATAACCATTAAATACAGAGTTAAATGTTTTTTATGTTGCAGGTCATGCATTCACAAAGACCACGAGAAACTCCCCTGAAACCTTGGCTAATAGCAGAGAAAACTGGAAAAATTCTGTGTGGCCACTGTGACTGTGTAGCCGGAATAGGAGAAACATGTACGCATATAAGTGCTCTGTTGTTTTATATAGACACCAAAGTGCGCATCAGAGATTCCCAGACAGTAACGCAGGAGGCAGCATACTGGAAAATCCCTTCAAGTGTAAAAGAAGTGACATATTTACCAGTAGGGGAAATTGACTTTACATCTGCTAAGTCTAAAAAGAAAATTTTAGATGCCCTTGTAAATCACAGTATTAATTTGACACCTGGAAAAAGACAAGTGAAACACGCGCCTCCTCCATCAACTGAAGATTTGGCGGACTTCTTCCAGAAACTCAGTGTATCCGGATCAAAGGCAGCTGTCCTGAGTGTTCTTCCAGAGCACTGCATGGCATTCAAACCTGTTTTATTAGCTGACAAGTTTCCCCTAATTTTAACTGACTTGTTTGAACAGGACGCTGTTAAACTGTCATTCAATGATTTGTTAAAGAAGTGTGAGAATATTCAGGTGACTGTCACAGAAGAGCAAGCGAAGTGTGTAGAGCAAGCTACAAGAACACAGGCTTCCAACAAACTGTGGTTTCGTTTTAGGTCCGGTCGTGTGACAGCTTCCAGAATGAAGAATGTTTGTCGCTCAAATCCAGACCAGCCATCACAGTCTCTCATAAAAGCTGTGTGTTATCCGGAAGCAGGGTCATTTGCTGTTGCTGCGACAAAGTGGGGCTGCACTCACGAGGATACTGCAAGAAGAATGTACATTGATAGAATGCAGGAATCCCATCACAGCTTTGAGTTGACCAGTGCTGGATTTTTCATCAACCCACAATTTCCTCACATCGGTGCAACACCTGACGGGTTAGTGTCATGTGATTGTTGTGGCACTGGTGTGGTGGAAATAAAATGTCCATATTGTGCAATAACAGCACCTTGTCGACTACACATCTGATAAGCGAAGTTTGTTATTTCGAATGAGGGCCGGATACATGGCAACTGAAAAAAGACCACGCATACATGTATCAAGTCCAAACACAGATATATGTTTGTAAAGCCGAATATGGAGACTTTGTTGTGTGGACAGAGAGGGACATCCATGTGGAGAGGATAGAGGGAGACCAAAGCATGTGGCAGGACATGCTGCGAGCATCGGAAGAGTTTTTTAGAAAAGCAGTACTGTGTGAACTCATCGGAAAATTTTATTCTAAGACAGGATTCACCTCTTTGTGCGAGAGCCCATCATTTGTAGTAAACACAGCTACTGCAAATGATGCAGACTTGTTTATTGCTACCTGTGGACAAGCCGCGAAGATGCTGCATACATGATTGCCTGTGACAACCATAACTGTAAGATTCAGTGGTACCACATAGGTGCCTTAAAATTAAGAGGTACCTAAGGGCAAGTGGTTTTGCCCAGAGTGTCGAAACTACCAGAAAACAAAAAAACAAGGAAGCATAAAAATTGACATGTTCTTGAAAATAAAGATGTATTTTTAACTTGTAATTTCTTTTCACATTTTTTTTAAAACTCAAAGCTTTTTGTATATTTTTCTAGTCCCGGTGAAATACGTAATGTGAATTTTCTATATTACTTGCATTTAATTTGAAATTCTTTTTGTAATTGGTATGTATATTTCAGTTCAGTGTAAATAATATTTGAAATGATTGTCCCTAGTTCAGAGCCTTGTTTGTGAATACCCAGTCAGTTTTTTGTGTTCTTAAAAATAAAGTTTAATATCAATCCATTTTTACCAGTTATATTGTCTGTCAGTATCAGTCAGCGCTAACCACAAAGAAGTCAACAATAGCAGAATAACCAATAAAGAGAAAGCTTGCAACTAAAACGAAAAAATAGAAATTTTATTTAAGAAGTTTATTATCTATTCTATTTGCTATACTTGAAATGCTATAATATTTCAGCACTAATATTAAATTACTAGCGGATAGATACCATTAATGACCCAATTTTAACAGCTGATTTACAGCTGACAATGCACATTAGCCAGCAATACACGAAAACTGCAT